AGATTATGAAGTAAGTTACTGCTACTGGTGTTGCAATTTTTTTTTTTTTTTTTTGGAAAGTTATAACAAATACTATTCATAGATGCTAGTCATATGATTGCTCTCCATTTTTGTTGTTTTTCTTTGGACTAAGACCATTTTACAAATGTGAATATTGATTCAAGAAGAGGGCAGTTTAGTAAATGGCTCAAGTGCAACAAACAAGGAAAAGAAACCAAGCACTGGAGTCGGGACTGGCTACCAATTTATTACTGCAAAGCAGCTACAAGCACAAGCAAAACAGATGCAGGAAGCAAGGAAAATGGTGAAGTAGAATAATGAAGAAGCTTCACTTGGAGGTCTTTTAAGTTCTAGATCAAATCAAGCAACATAAGTCTTCTTTTAAGTTTCTGCTGAATTTCAGCTTAGATCTTGTGTTTTCTGCATTTTCTTATTTGTTTTTGACTTTCTGTTAGTATGGTTTTGTTAGACTAAGCAACACACTATGATGTGTGTTTAGTTTTCACTAGCTGTTTCTCAAATTTGTTGATATTGTTGGGTGCTTTCTAAAGTTAAAGGGCGAACTAAGTTCTAAAATGAAATTTTAAGGACCAAATTGGGTATTAAACCAAAAGGAATCGAGACTTGCAGAGGCTTTAGGGGTCAAAGAAGGGTTCGGAGAAGAAAGACCTGCAAAGGCTTTAGGGGTCGAAGAAGGGTTCGAAGAAGAAAAACTTGCAGAGGACTTAGGGTCGAAGAAGGAATCAACAATTCGAAGAACAGAGAATCAACACTTGCTATCAAAGAAGAAGGAATCAAGTTTGATCTGTAACCATCGCCGATTGCTTTCTCGTTTCTAGAATCATTCTGCTTTTGGAAACTAAGCAATCGGCTGGAATGGTTGCTGGAAACTGAGCAGTTGGCTGAAATGGTGCAAAAGATTTAGGGGTTTCGAAGAAGGATTTAGGGGTATTAAACCAATCTGTTTTTATTTTATCAAACGTGGAACGAAAATAGTGCCATGTAATCAATTGGCTGAGTTTTTTTTTTT